TTTCCTTTGCCACTTATGTACCTAATGCACAATATCTCTCTCTCAATGTATTAAGTTCTTACAGTCAGCAATTGGTAAGAAATATTTCACATGAATATGAACTTGTTTCTTTTGAAGAGGCAGCTGTAAGCCCTGCGTGGCAGTCAGCCATTAGTCAAGAGTTTGAGGCCTTGATGACCAACAATATATGGAGTCTTGTAACATTACCAGTTGGTAAAAGTGCAATAGGGTGTAAGTGGGTGTATAAAATGAAATGTATGTCTGATGGTGTTGATACCCAATATTTTCTCTATATATTTTAAATATGCATAAATACCTTTAAAATAGCATAGACATGCATATATAAGCATGCACAAGGTTTTTACAAATTTTTCCATAATTTTAGGGATTTAAATTGATTTATTTCCGTCCCTTTTATTCATAAATTCCCAATAATTATTACCCAAATTATTGTTATGGTAATTTAGTCATTTAATTTCTATACTTATGCCAAAATATGGTTAATATATTTTTTTATGCATTTTTATAATTGCATTTGGTATTTTTAAGCTAAATTGTATATAATTGCAATATTAGCTCATTTAATGTATAATTATATTTTATACGCATAAAATTGGTCCCTATATTTTTAAAATAATAAATATATATTTTAAATCATTTTGGTACATAAAATTATTTTTCAGAAATTATTTATTATTTTATTATAAATTATATAGGGAGAAAATGGCTATTTAAAATATAGTCAGATTGGCTTTCAATTGTAGCCCAAATCGAACCACAACCCCAACCCAATTTTAAATTAAAACACCCGACCCAAGCCCTAAATCCGCCTATCCGACCCAAGACCCGCTAAATCCTGGCCGTTGATCCGACCCTCATAATTCCTTTCCTTTTTTTAATTCCAACTACAACTTAACCCTACTTCATTTCCAAATACCGCCGCCTCTGTATCCTCTCTTCTCTCAACCACCCAATCTAACCCTAGCCCCTTTCCACCGCCGACCTTCTTCTCCGGTGACCACCCTTCAACCCCTAAGCCTCCAATGGCTCCTCTATTGCCATGCTCATCTCCTTTGAGGTCTTCAAGGGCCCTGGGCCACACTGACTTGCATCTAGAGTTTTCCATCCGGTCTGTTCTTGGCTACTTCAGTATGATTGCAAGTAAAATCTTGCTATACTTGTTACGATCCTTGAGATTTTGACAGGTCTTTCATCTATACTTGGGTTTCTTCTGAAACCCTAATTTCGCTTACATCTCTTAGATCTATACAACTTTTAAACGATTTGAGTCTTTTCCCGTGATGTTTTATACTATTCTTGAATCACTTTTACAAAAATCATCGATATCAAGTTGTTTTCACCTTCTTCTAAAGTTTGGGTTTTCAGAACTTCTTCCAAACTTTGTTAAACCGATTCTGTATGTTTAAAACTTCTATCTCTTGCATATTTCGACTGATTCTAGGATTTTACTCCTTTTTCAACTTGCCTATGTTGAAAACCCTAATTTTTCAGTTCCAATCTTGGGTTTCTGAGTTTTGTTTTGATAACGTGTTCAGTTAATCTGTATGTTTCTATGATTCTGTGATTTTTGCCCTATGTTTGCTTATTAGGGTTCCTGACTATGGTTATCCCTACCTATTGTGTTATTTTACCCCATTTTGTTCACCAATGTTTCTGATTCTTCACTTCTCCTACATGTATCATGCTTAGCCTACTAATTCAGACCATCCTCTACATGAATCCCTAATTTTATATATGATTTTTGTCCTACTCGACCTCTTAGGGTTCTGGTTTTGCTTACCATGTATTTGTTCTTATAAAGTGGTGCTAAATCAGTACTCTCTTTTATTTTTGAATCACTGAATCTTTGTGATTGATCCATCGCTGATTCCGCATGATATCTCTACTAATTTTTACCTTGTAGAATGTTTTCTGACCTTATTCTATGGTCAATTATGCTATTAATTGATTTCTTAAGTCTTTCCTTGATTGAAATATGCTGAACCTAGCCTCTATTACATGTTGTGTACTTGTACTATGCAGAAAATATTTCCTTATTTGTCATGCTCAGCCTTATACGATTTCCTTCCTTATGTCTATTACCGTTTGAAGTTAACTCCTCAATCAAAGAGAGTACTTGCCTTGATTTCCCGACTGACTGATTCTGAGTTCCATAATTACTGAAGGACTTTGATTTTTACCTTATTTTGCTACATGCTTTCAAACTATATATACACACACTCTTATCAGCACAAAGACAGGAACACTCTTGGTTCAAAAACTCTCTCTCACACTTAAAATTTTTTACTCTCTTTTGTGCTACTTGCTACTACTCTAAGTTAGCTGGCTACAAGCCAAGGCTAACCATTGTGTTCTCCTGCTCTTTCACTTTTTTTACTGACCTCTTTACTGGTATGTTCTAGTTTCAATTCAAAGTTCCAACAACAATATGATTCTTTTATTATTTCAGTTCATCCTGTTTCTAGTTTGCTTCTATTTATGGTTTTGTTGTGAAACTTGTAGTTGATGTTTACATTATTATGTACTCCCATTCCTTAAGACTAGTATAATACCTCTTTGTGTTGTTTCTGAACATGTCTGCACCAATTATCTCTATGTGTTTACCACCATGTGCTCCATGTATCCCAAAATCCCTATCACCCATGTATGTGAATTGGTTCTCTATGTCTGATTCTGTGACTATGTCTGGTCAGCTGTTTCTGAACACGTCTATACCAAATTCCTAGACCTTTTCTTGATTATGTGTTCACAATTAAGTGTTCTATGTATCCCCAAATCCCTTGACCCCTGTTTTGACTACTGAACTTGCTTGGTGCTGTGACTCATGACAATGTATGAATCTGTCTTAAAGGTGTTGTGTTTGGACTTTTGTTCACTACTCCACTCTCTTTCAAACTGCCCCTGTTGTGTTACTGAATCATTTTCAAACAAACTTCCTTTTTTATACAGTTTTTCATTAAAACCTTTCAACTTGTGTCAAACACTTTCACTCTACTCCTAAGTTAATAAGTTCTGCCCCCTCCAGTATGTGTACTGCCTTGGGATCCTCTTGAGAACCCTCTAAACTCTGGAATGCTGAGGCTGACCCTTCCACACTGCACTTATTCAATTTTGGTTACCAAGTCTAGGTGTAAGCACCACCCCGGATCCTTGAGATCTTTAGGGAACTTTAATGCACCTAGACTATGATTTTGAGGCATTTGAGGCTATTGGAGGCTTTTAGAAATCTGGGCCTAATTGAAGGCTCCCTATAGAATAACTTCTTCTTTTCTTATTTACTTATGTAATTTATTCATATACTTGTAAACAAATATTAGGGTAACTAGTGAAATGGATGGATAACTATATGTCTATGGGGTAATACTGGTAGAAATCATGCTCATAGGACTTTACATTTAATCTGATTGCTTTATCAAGTAGAAATCATGCTTATAGGGCTTTACATTTTGTCATCTCACCATGATAGAAACCATGCCTATAGGTTTCAAATAATTCCGTAATAAAATCATGTCTGAAATGTCTTAAAATCAGCTTAAAAAATAGATGCCATGCCTATAGGATGTAACTTAACCTAGTTTTTGTTATAACAAATGTTTATGCATGTTTCCATGCATGCAAGTCTGTAAAATCAGTATTAAACTTAGATATCATGCCTATAAGGAACAATATCAAATCTTATCTATGGATTTCGCCTAAGTTTGGTTTAAATAACTCAATTCGGTTAATATTTAGTTTACTTCTGAATTGGTTTAATTAAGTGGTATATTTCCTGAAACAAGTTCTTTCAAAACTGCATCATTTTTATCACGAGACATCATGCTAATAGGTATTAAAAGTCCGTTTAAAAACCTGCCTTGTTTCACTATAGTCATCAGTATTCCGCGTATAGGCAAGCCTGTAGGGCATTTTCAAAACTTGCAATACTGAAACTATTTCTGTGACTTAATGTTTTTCTGATCCTAACAGGCTTTAAGAAACCAATAGGCAACTGCTAAGGTCATTACTCCTGAGTTTATAAAAACAAAATGCTTGTCTTCTGCATGTTCACCTAGATATCCTGCCTTAGGATACTGTTTAACAAAAGCCCTTAATTGTGCTTGAGTCATGCTGTTTATGTGCCTTGTTTGAGGAGGAAACTTTGAGCCTCTACTTGCTCCTTTTTATTTTATGTGTTAAAGTCATGGTTGTTTTGCCTGTCGCCTTAGAATTTTCACCTTTAAAACCTTAGGGGTCTATCTAGAACCACCTATAGGTAGAGGTCCTAAATCCCTCTAGGACCATTAAGAAGGGACGAGTAACATCATGCGATAGAGATCGCAGACCAAACACTCGCTTTGCATGACCACTAAGGGGATGGGAAGGGTAGATATGAGATATGATGACTACGCGCTAATGTCACGTGTAGCCCATCATCGAGGAGTGTTTACCGGACATTGTGTGGGATGATCCTATAGGCTAACCAACCTAGGACTCCTCCTTTACCAAAATTCCTCTTTCTATTTAAACCTTTGTTTTACAACTTGTTCAAAAAATCTTTATCTTATTACTTAAGTTACCCAACGTGCTTTACTTGCAACCTATTTGATTCAACTGTTTATTTATATGGACTAATTTGTGAATATGAGTTCGGTTGGGACCCACAGTTGTGGACCAACAGGGGTGCCTAACACCTTCCCCTCGAGGTTATCTCGAGCCCTTACCCTAATCTCTGGTAATGCAAACCAATCCAAGAGTTAATCACTCTTGGTGTCCTAACGCACCATAACTCATTAGGTGACAACTTTTCAAATACCCAATTCTCAAAAGAAAATAATTTTTCACACCCTATGGAATGTCGAAATCCGGATCTCTCTCCACGGAGGGAAAAAGGGAGCACGACAGATGGTAGTATTGAGAGGTTTAAGGCTATATTAGTGGTAAAGGGATACACACAGAAAGCAGGGATAGATTACACATAAATATTCTCACCTGTTGTAAAAATGACAACTGTGAGAGTAATAGGAACTGATGTGAAGAAAGGTTGGCAGATGTTTCAATTAGATGTCAACTATGCCTTCCTTCATGGAGATCTCCATAAGGAAGTATATATGGAGGTGCCTCAGGGCCTAGTAGTAGACAAGCAGGTTTAGTATGCAAGTTGAATAAGTGTCTATGTGGACTCAAGCAAGCAAGCATGCAATGATATAAAAAATTAACTATAACTTTATGTTCCAAAGGATACACACACTCACCGTTAGACTACTCCTTGTTTCACAAAAAGAAGGGACCTTTAGTGGTGTTTGTAGCTGTATATGTAGATGATGTTATTGTAACAGGGACTCACCAGGAAAAGATTTATTCTTTGAAAAGTTTCCTGCATGAAACTTTCAAGATAAAAGATTTGGGAAGGTTACACTATTTCTTAGGAATAGAAGTACTTTACAAAGAAGATGGAGTGTTGATATCTCAAAGAAAGTTCACTATGGATCTGCTGAAAGAGTTTGAATGTGCCCAATATTCCAGCTTAACATCACCCCTTGATCCTTCTACAAAGCTGAAGGCAGATGAAAGTCCTTTGTTGATTGACCCTTCCAACTACAGAAAGCTGGTAGGTAAGCTGAATTTCTTGACAAATACAAGGCTTGATATATCCTATAATGTCCAACACCTCAGTCAATACATGCAGTCACCTAGAGAAAGTCATCTGAAAGCTGCATACCATGTCTTGAGATATCTAAAAGGTGATCCAAGCCTGAGTATCTTCTTCTTCAACAACAAGGATTATGGAATAAGAGCTTTTTATGACTCAGATTGGGCAGCATGCCCTGAGACCAGAAAGTCAGTCAGTGGCTATATCATGTTACTTGGAAATAGTCCCATAAGTTGGAATCAAAGAAACAGTCCACCATATCATTATCTTCAGCTAAAGCGGAGTATAGAGTAGCTAGACAAGTTGTGGGTGAGCTAGTTTGGTTGGTTACACTCCTTCAAGAGTTGACTGTACCCCATGAATCTTCCCATTCCAGTGTTTTGTGACTGCCAAGCAGCTTTGCAGATAGCCAGAAATCCAGTGTTTCATGAGCGCACAAAACACATAGAAGTTGACTACCATTTTGTTAGAAACAAGCTGCAATAGGGATTGATCTCTTTACACCATGTATCTACCAATGAGCAGCTCGTAGACATCTTCACTAAATACTTAACTGGAATCAAATATTCAAATCTACTCAGCAAGTTGGCCGTGCATTCCTCCCTTCCAACTTGAGGGGGTGGGGGGATATTGAGATTAGTTATTAGTTACACATTGTATTTATTTTCTTCCTATTTTCCTCTTAGTTCTTTTCCAGTTAGTTAGCTTTGTTAGTAGATATTAGATGTTAATGATTGTAAGTTGTTGTTAGTTAGTGAACAGTTGTTGCCAGCTGTCAAATGAGTGGGCAAGACAATTCACGTGTATATATAGGGTTTTTGGACATTCTCTGTAAGATGAAACATTCAATTTACATTTTCCCACTTATGCTTTTCGAAGCTTCTCACTTCTCCTTTATCTTTTCTCTCTTAGCCGAGTTTACTGATTTTCCTCCATTAGAGCGCGTCTGAGCTCAATTTTATCTCTGTCTTTTACGGCAACTAATTGGGCGCTTTTAATTAGAGTACAAAGAATTAATATGACATAGCGTAAGCGTACCATAAGCTGGGAACAAACTGAAAAGAATTAGCAGAAACGAAGGCAAAATCAATTCATGTATGCTTGTGATCAGACAAATGGTAATTGATATACTGATTCCACTAATTAAGCCTGGAAAATACAATTGTTGTTTTCAATATTAATATTGCGAGANATATATATATATATATATATATACGTTGATCAGCTTTATTCATTTGTGCTAAAAGTAAAAGGAAAATACAGCAAATAGAGTACATTTACATCCCCTTAATTTTGTTAGCATATTTCATTTAAATATTCGAATTAAGGTCAGTCCCAATTGAGCACCAAGTGTCTAATATGAACACTTTATCACGAACATTTTACTATGTGTTCAGATGCTCAATTTCAAGTGTCTAAATGAAATATTCTGATAAGTTTAAGGGATTGATAATATATTCCACCTTAAATATATTGATACATTCCATATAATCAATCAACATATCAAATGCGAAAACAAGTAAGCATGGTTGATATCAAATCAACGAACAAATGGCTGAGAGAGATCTTTGACAAATCCATTTAATAAAATTTTATGGACTTTTCTATTTCTGTTAAGTTTTATTTTTTTAATGATGATAATATTCGACCAGGTTAAAAGTGATTAGTATAAAGTATACAACTCGTATATATTCCTTGTATATATGCATCAATTACCTGTAATGCTAAAAAAGCACCCACGACTTTTTGCTCCATCTTTCACACACGTGCACTTTTTCTCCTACACTTTATTCCACCTGTTGTTCGTAATTTAGAGTATGTTCTTTCCATTCTACTAGTTGATATAACACTGCTTTTGCTCTGTAAAGTAGTCTTAAATTAAAAGAGTTTAATCCTATCCTACTAATGGTACGTATAGTAAAATATTTATTTATGCAAACCATTGCTAGCTTTTGTACTACTCCTTCATTTCCTATCGAGACACTATATAAAGGAAATCATCACTTCGCTTAACCATATACATTCTCACTTAGAAAAATACAGCCTCTACACCATATCTAGCCTACTCAACAAAGAAAAATAAAACAGCCAATGACGACTAGAACAGCAGTTATTCTTTTATCCAATTTTCTTTGGCAGTGGCCTGTGCTTATTCTGCTACTACCATTTCACCACAACTCAGCTAACGCTGCGGTTGGTGGCACGTGGGAGCTACTGATGTCCGACATTGGCATTTCAGCCATGCACATGCAACTCCTCAACAACGATAGAGTCGTCATGTTCGACCGTACTGACTTTGGCGCATCCAACATCGCATTGCCCAATGGCAAATGCCGCAACAACTCTAATGACCTCGCGTTGATAGTTGACTGCACTGCTCACTCTGTAGAATTCGACGTCACCACCAACTCTGTACGTCCACTCATGGTCCAGACCAACGTGTGGTGCTCCTCTGGCTCCGCCACGTCCGATGGTTCTTTGGTCCAAACTGGTGGCTTCAACGATGGTATAAACGTTGTAAGAGTTTTCAAACCGTGCATTACAGGTAAAAGGAGCACTTGTGACTGGCAAGAAATGGGAAATGGCTTAATTCAAAGCCGATGGTATGCTACCAATCATATGCTTCCAGATGGCAGGCAAATTATTATTGGCGGTCGTGCCGCTTTTAACTACGAGTTTTATCCCAAGACTGCTTCAACCAACAACGTATTTAGCCTGCCGTTTCTTGAGCAGACTAATGATCCTATGGAGGAGAACAATCTTTACCCTTTTGTTTTTCTCAATGTAGATGGAAATCTATTCATTTTCGCCAATGACCGAGCTATTTTGTTCGATTACAAGTCGAACACGGTGGTGAAAACGTACCCACAAATACCTGGTGGCGACCCAAGAAATTATCCAAGTACGGGTTCTGCAGTTCTTCTTCCATTAAAGAACTTGCAAGAACAAACGATCCAAGCTGAGTTTTTGGTTTGTGGTGGAACACCAAGAGGGTCATACCTCAAAGCAACAACAGGTGACTTTTTGGGTGCATTAAATACTTGTGGCCGGATTACAATTACCGACCCGGATCCACAGTGGACAATGGAAACCATGCCACTGGCTCGAACAATGGGGGATATGATAATTTTACCAAATGGAAATGTTTTGATCCTAAATGGAGCTGCCGCGGGCGCTGCTGGATGGGAACTTGGTAGGGACCCAGTCTTGTGTCCTGTAATTTATCGACCTGATAATCCACTTGATTCTAGATTCGAGGTACAGAACCCGAATACCATACCCAGAATGTACCACTCAACAGCTGTTTTACTTCGAGATGGTCGGGTTCTTGTTGGTGGTAGTAACCCAAATGAGTTTTACAATTTCACAGGAGTACTCTTTCCGACGGAGTTAAGCTTGGAGGCATTCTCACCATCCTATTTGGATCCGAAATCTGCTAATTTGCGACCACAGATCATTTCTCCCACTTCCCGCCATAAATTCAAGTATGGGCAACGAGTTAACATTCAGTTTACTGTTTCTGGATTACTGAACAGAGATTTGATCAAAGTAACGATGGTTGCACCCGGATTTAATACACATTCATTTACTATGAACCAAAGAATGCTAGTACTTTCAAGTGGAGATGTAAGATTGATTGGAAAATTCGTCTATCAAGTCAGTTTGGTGTTTCCAAAATCGGGTAAATTAGCACCACCTGGTTACTATATGTTATTTGTGGTTCATCAAGATATCCCAAGCGAGGGAATTTGGGTTAGGATCCACTAACCAGATTTGACTATGCAGAGACTTATTTTGGATTGAGCTAGCGAAGCACATCCTTAATTTTCTTTGAAAAGTTGTAAGCAGATAACTGGCTTGTTTTGTAACATTGACGATTTTGAAGGTATTCCAATCTATTGCAATATATAATAAAAGACTTAGATTGATGACTTGCCATGTTAATTAATACTAGTAGATGATATTCACAACTTTTTTTAAAGGCTTCTCTTTACAAGAAAAAGAAAACTGAATTCAATTTAAAGCCTGTCAACGAAGAAATTCATATAAAGCGTTGGGTTTTCAACCAAGAATATATACTTAACTTTTCTTCCTTGCAAATGAGGAAAAGCCAGCAAATGGCTATTTTCAGATTTCGGTGGGAGTTGCCTTCTGCGGATGACATATACTGGAAAGAAGAAAAAACCATACGACACTTGCCAAAGTTATTTCAGTGTAAAATCTCTCTTTATCTAAAATAATTCACATTTTATTCAGCTGATTATAGCTAGCTCATGCATATATAGTGTTCTGACAATTTTTTATTTTAAACCGCCTTGTATTTTTTTTTTTGGGTGGGGGTGGCAATGTTCTGACAATATAAAACCATGTAAGTGGACTTAGCCTAAAAATGTAAGTGGATATGGACAAAACATCAAATCTTTTTATTTAGTAATTTAATTATTTTTTTGTTAAAAACAAACAAGAAGTCAAATTAAACATGACATCCCCTTTCAAATTGATTCATTGAATTCCTTTGTTTGACTTTAAATTGCACGAGTAAATAGGAAAAGAATTTTAAAACATACGAGTTCAATAATTGTTAGAGAAACGTGTGGGTCGACTGTGTAGAATTTTTTCTCTCAATATGTACGATTTAGAGAACAATAACCTGCAGGTTATTAACTTTTTTCCTAATTAATTTGTCTTTTCTAAAAGTTATAGGCCGTTTATTTTTTTTCTTTTCGCCTCTCTCTCCGCTCTTCAAAATTTCCATCTTTTCAAAATAAGAACCTATCGATTTTTTCTCTTTGGCTTCTTCTACCTCTGTCAGTTTCAATTTTAATCCTTCTGTAATCGCATTGCTTCATTTAGTATCAACGAAGATTTTTTCTCTGAATTCTTTAAAAATGATGTCCGTGAAAACCGTCAGAATCAGAAAGCAAATATATGGAATATCTTCAATATTACAAAACAAGCCAATTGTCTGCTTTACAACCTTTCCAGGAATAAGAAAAGGATACTTCCAATGACCTTATTATAAAAATGACAAACTTGTAAATATCAAAACAAGTCCTCACATACACTAGCTACGAAGAAAAAGAAAATTCTGAAGGAAAAAAAAAGACATTTGTAGAGTCAAATCATTTGGTTACTGGATCCTGACCCAAATTGCCTCGCTCGGGATGTCCTGATGAACCACGAATAGAAGATAGTAACCTAGTGGTGCAAATATACCCGACTTTGGAAACACACAACTGATTTGATACACAAATCTTCCAACTTGTCTTACCATTCCAGATCTTGGAAGTACCAACATTCTTTGGTTCATAGTAAATGAATGTGTATTAAACCCAGGTGCAACCATCGTTACTTTGACCAAATCTCTATTTAGTAATCCCGACGCAGTAAATAGAATGTCAACACGTTGACCATACGTGTATTTAAGATGGGAAGCAGGAGAAATGATTCGTGGTCGCAAATTAGCAGATTCTTGATCCAAATAGGATGGTGAGAATGCCTCCAAGCTTAAATCTGTTGGAAAAAGAACTCCGGTGAAATTGTAAAGTTCATTTGGGTTACTACCACCAACAAGAACCCGACCATCTCGAAGTAAAACCGCTGTTGAGTGGTACATTCTAGGTATGGCATTCGGGTTTTGTACCTCGAATCTAGAATCTGATGGGTTATCGGGTCGATAAATTACTGGACTCAGGACCGGGTTCCTAGCTATTTGCCATCCAGCAGTGCCTGATGCAGCTCCATTGATGATCAAGACATTTCCGTTTGGTAAAATTACCATGTCGCCCATTGTTCGAGCTAGTGGCATTGTCTCCATGGTCCACTGTGGATTCGGGTCGGTAATTGTAATTCGCCCGCACGTGTTTAATGCACCCAAAAATTCACCTTTGTCCGCTTTGGGGTATGATCCTCTCGGTGCTCCACCACACACCAAAACCTCAGCTTGGACCGTTTGTGACCTCAAGTTCTTTAATGGAAGAAGAACTGCAGAACCCGAACTTGGATAATTTCTTGGGTCGCCACCCGGTATTTGTGGGAATGTTTTCACAACCGTGTTGGTCTTGTAATCCAACAAGATAGCTCGATCATTGGCGAAAATGAATAGGTTTCCATCCACATTGAGAAAAACAAACGGGAAAAGATTGTTCTCTTCTCTAGGATTATTAGTCTGCTGAAGAAAGGGTAGGCTAAATACGTTGTTGGTTGAAGCAGTTTTGGGATAAAACTCGTAGTTAAAAGCCTTACGACCACCAATGATAATTTGCCTTCCATCGGGAAGAATATGATTGGTGGAATACCATCGACTCTGAATTAGGTTATTTCCCATTTCCTGCCAGTCACAAGTGCTGCATGGTTTGACTACTCTAACCATATGTTCACCGTCGTTGAAACCACCAGTTTGGACCAAAGAACCGTCGGAGTTGACGGAGCCAGAGGAGCACCATACATCGGTCTGGACCATGAGGGGACGCACAGAGTTTGTGGAAACATCGTACTCGACAGAGTGAGCAGTGCAATCGACTTTCAAGGCGAGGTCATTAGGGTTGTTGCGACATTTGCCATCGGGCAATGAGATGTTGGATGGGCCAAAGTCAGTACGGTCGTACATTATAACTCTGTCGTTGTTGAGGAGTTGGATGTGCATGGCTGAAATGCCAATGTTGGACATTAATAGCTGCCATTTGCCACCTGCTGCATAAGTCAAGTTCGACTGACATGATAGTAGCAGAAGCAGAGGCAGCTGCCAAAGAACGGAAAAATGAACGGCTGTTTTTCTAGTCGTCATGAGCTATAGATTCTTTTCTTTTTCTTTTTCCTGTTTGGTTTCGAGAAATAATTGCGTCAAAAGGAAACAGAGGAATTGAGTTTTGAGGAGAGGATGAAAGTGTTATGAAAGTATGAGATGTTGTATCCTTTATATACTGTTGGAAATCTGGAATACGAGAAGTAAGTATAATAGTTTTTGCAAATATAATTCTATTTGGTGACGGTTTATCTGTTGATGAAAGAATATTTGTATGATATTTCTTAATGCAAAATAGAGCTTAGGAATATTTGAAGGATTTTCAACGCCATATCCAATAATTAAACAAAAACTGAAAGTCAACTCATTCAGTTATCTCTCCTTGTAAAAGTGTTTGATTACACTGCGTGGTGTTGCCTTTGAGAGTCTGCATTTAAGAAATTTTACTCCTTCATAGTAATTTAAGAAATTAATTTATAAGTTTGGTACGAACGAAAACAATTTACGGAAATGTTTTTCAATTTTCTAATTTTTGGTTGGTTTAAATATTTTGGAAAATATTATTTTTCTCGTGAATTCCCTATCAAGAGAAGGAAAATTATTTTCCAATTTTTTTTTCCAATCTTACCCACCCTTCTCATCTTAACACCAACCCACCCCAAATTTTTGTGATGTAGAAAAAGTATTTTCTTTCATTTCAACAAAATGGTGTAGTAAAAAGTATTTTCTTTTATTTCGAAGTACAAATGAGTATTTTCTTTTCATGATGTAGAAAATGTATTTTAATTTCTTCCATTTCAACAAAATGAGTACTTTATTTTCATGTTGTGTAAAGAACACTTTCTTTTTCAACCAAAAGAAGAGAATTTTTTTAGTTATGGAGAACAAATTCCAACGTTATTTTTGCGTAAAAAAGTAAAGCAACACATTAGTTCCTTTGGGTTTGTTTGAACTTTTAGAAGAATAATTACATTCTTGAAGAAAATAGAGTCCTTAAAACATTGGATATTTCTGGGGGGGGGGGATGCATACAGCCCTCTACCATCTATCCCATTGCATTCCATCGTCTCGTATTGTACTGTGCCGGGGGCACAAGAAACATGGGGACTTGGGAAGGGGTGCGAGGAGAGTAGAATAAAAAATTATTTTCCTAAAAAATATTTTGTACTCTCTAACTAATTACTAGAAAAAAATTTCCGAAAAAAGTTTTTCACTCACAAACCAAACAAGGAAAAATAAGTGATAAAACTACTCATTTTCGATGAAAATATTTTCTATGAAAATGTTTTCCATGGAAAACATTTTCTTTCATATCAAACTCACCCTATATTCCCTTTGTTTTGTTATTGTGAATTTTTCATATGGCTTTTAAGAATTTTGAATTGGTAATTGTTGTGTCTTATAGTATACTATTTTTTCACGTATTTTTTAATACGCAAATTTTACTTAAAAATATTTAAAGATTGCTTGCCTGAATTTACGGTCAAAATTGATTCGTTTGATTCTCGAAATCTGAAAATTTTCATATAAATTGAGACGGGAGGAATATTGTTTAATAGTATACAAAATTTTCATTTGGAGGGGCTGTTTTTTCATTTCTTAGGAAAACAAACATGGTGATACGTACTGTTTGTTTTGAGTACACAAAACATTTTCAGCAATAACTTAATTCACTTTTTTACCCTACTAACTATGACAGTTCAATTGATGGAGCGAAAAGAGCTATTCTCGGACTTCGTATCTCTCTTTAATTATTTTAATTTCTTTTTGGGTGTATGAGTCGTGCATGGGTGCTTTCCAACATGACAGTTCAATTGATACATGCAAGGAATATATAATTTGGTACCTTAAAAGTACAGTAAAATTTTATTAAAATGCATGTGTCAAAGATCTCTCTTGTTCTAATAAGTTTCGATATATCACTTAGTACTTATTTTCAGTCTCAATAGGAATTTGATTCCCGTGGTATTTATATATACACTTAATTTCGGAAAGCTAATATTTCCTTTTTATTGTAATCGATTTATTATGTATTTGTTAGCGCATAATTAACATAAATAATGCTGCTTGGCTGCACGTATTTAGAGAATATTTTCGCAATTATTTCATAAACATTGTATTCTCGACATCTTTAGTTTATCGGCACATCAACTACCATTCAAATGTCTAAGTTCAAGTCTCATTCTTGGTGGTGTAAGAAATATATATTGTAAGGCACATACATTATACTCATCCGGGAAAAAGTTAGTTTCATGGTATTTACTTACTTTTCTTCATAGATACTACTTTTTTTTTTCCTTAACTTTATTATTCAGAAAATTATACAGAAATGGTATATAAAAAATATTTGCAAAAACTTTTAAGTTATGTACGCCGTCGGTATAAAGATTTTTTTCTTCTCGTAATTAGGTCATCCAAATGATACCGAGGCAAGCCTCCTAAAAATATAGGATGTGAAGTCTTGAAAATAAGACAAGTTACCTACTACATGAGGTAAAAATGATATGATAGTATGATTTTTTTCTTGCTCTGATGGTATATATAACTTATTCTCATAAAGAATAATGTCACATGGAGTATAAATTAACAGTAAGGGATTGTTATACACTATCATTAATATAACCTGTCATAGCTCTGATTTGTCTATTTAGGTTACTACTCTATACTTACTATAAGAACCTTCTTGCAATTTTCCTCTAAATAAGTGACTTGATTGTTTTGTACATATTTCTTACATGATCAGCGCATGAAACTAGTTAACAATCTTTTTTTTTATATGCAATTATCCAGATTCATGTCTGGATGTTGTCATATTCACAAAAGAAGTACAGTGAGGGGGACCAACCCTTACCTCAAGAGATGAATACAACTAGGTGATATAGTCACCCAAAGCCAGTTAGAAGGAACGAAACCTAGACAAAAAATCCCATGTCCTCCTTCCGACGATGAAACCATATATACAAATTAGCTTACAAAGAAATTGGCTTTGTCAAATTTTGATCGAAAACTCGGCAATTGCCACTCATCTAAAAGGAAGGCACTTTTGGCTAATGTAGGTAGCTGTTGAAAGCTGTAACATAATAGTCTATGGCCGGAGAAAGACGCAATTTTGGCTAAGCTATTAGCAACCAAGTTGACTTCTCTGAACCAATAGTTTACTCTAACATTTGCCTCTCCAATAATGCTTAGAATCCTGTCCAAAATCTGCTTGATGTTCAGGTTGTTAGTAGCTTTTTGATCAGCATATTGGCAATGATCAAGGAGTCAAGTTCAAGAATAAAATTAGTGTATCCACGCTGGCTGCACCATTTTACTCTAAACTCAATTGCTAATTCTTCAATCATGTTGTTGCTTGTACTAGTTACTGGAACAGAGAAGGCCATGATCAAATCGCCTCTGTTGTCCCTCACTATACCTCCAATTCCTGCTCTGTCACTCTCTTTAATGTAAATTCCATCAGTATTTACTTTGACAATGAATATTGGAGGAAATTCCCAAATGACTTGCTTCTATATTCGAATTGGTTGCAATCTCTCGATCTTTTCACAAAGAGCAGGCCACTATAGTCCTCTATCCATCTCTGGCAGCTTACTTGACAGCACCATCTTGAGGGTCCAAATGCATTGGTATTTTATTGTATTGTGTTGAAATTTGTTTTTATTTTCATATCTGCATAAAGTCCACTATTTCCTTATTTCCCTACAGATGATCACATTGCAGGACCAATTTTGTATTGTTGGTCTTCATATCCCACCATCTTTTAAAAGCACTAATGACTGGTTCTTGTTGATGTTCCAATCCCAATGGTTGCCCAATTACATTCCATATGAATTTTGCAGCTTCTCTTCCAGTGAAAACATGCTGCATTGATTCTATCTGTGAATTATTACAACAAAAACATCTAGAAACAATATTAGTACCAAATTTTTCTATGATGTCGTCAAAGGGTAATCTTTTTTTGAAATTCTCTAGCTTAAAAAGGAAAATTTGAAAGGGATAGAATTGTATCAAACCTTAACGGAAAAATTATTGTTTTGCCTGTGTAGAATGCCATGCACTTTTGTTAGTAAAAAGATCATCCTCTAAAACTTTCCATACAGGGAAATCATTTAGATTCTGGCCTCTGAGGTCCATACTAGTAATCTTACCAATAAGATAATCAGGAACCACTATGGACATATTGTTGATGTCCCATTCACCATTAATAATGAATTCCTTAACAGAAGTTTTAGCAGACTTTCCAAGGCCTTGAATGATTCTAGCTAAAGAACCTTCACCAGTCCAGTTGTCCCACCAGAAGCTAGAGTTACCAGATTATATTTTTCAGATGATATTAGATTCATCCTTGCTCTTACTCTTCATCATGGTGTTCCAACTATGCAAATCTGAGGAGTTAGGAATTTTAGACACTGGATGAGACCTTTTGCAATATTTGAATTTAAGGAAGGTTGTCCAGAGTGAAGAGTTGGTTCTAAATATCTACCATCTTTTGATATTGAGAGATTCAGTAATGTCTTGCAAACTTCTAATTCCTATGCCACCTTTCTCTTTATGGTAGCAATTTTTTTTTTTCAAGAACTCCAATAGTAAATCTTGTTACCCTCAGAAGAGCCCCAAAAAAATTTAGAGAAATGCTTTTAAATGAGATTGATAGTGCCTTTAGGAGGGTTCAGAGCAGACCGGATATAAATGGGAGTGATTGGAGGACACGTTTGATTAAAATCATTTCCCCCCCATAATATAGCATTTTACCTTGCCAACCATTGAGCCTTTTGATAACTTTGGATAACAGGCTGTCAAATAAGCTGATTCTTTTCCTTCCCCGATAGATAGGATATTCGAGATAGTTGAATGAAAATTCTTTATCCGTGAAGCTAGAGGTCTGCCTAATTCTGTTGATCCGGTTAGCAGAAGTGTTTGGAGCAGCGATGAAAAAACTCTTATCCTCATTCACTTTTGCTCGAAAGCTTTTTCGTACCTTCTAATTGGGTTTTTAATCAATTTGATAAACCTATTATTTCCATCACTGAAAATCACAATGTCATATGCATAGCTAGATGATTGATAACATGTCCATTATGGTTCATACTGAATGGAGTAAAGCCATCCATGGAGATAAGG